ACCGTAAACAATTTGAATAAAAGATTTTTCTTATTTTAAACTGGCTAAAATTTTATGGAATTGTGACCTTTTATTTGCTGAGGAAATTTTTTATAAGTAAATATATTTCAAATTCTTTCGATGATTATTTTAGATTGTCATATCAGATTGAAATTTTTTTAGACTTTGTGAGATTGCATAAAATTTAAGCTTGGATAATGAATGTTGAGTGATATAATGTAGCATTGGAAATCCAATTTTGATATACATTCCATCAATTCACTAATAATTTCAGGCCGGATGTACAAGGAATCTTAAGAAATAATCTAGTTGAGCTTCATGAGCTGGATCAATTGTTTTAGAAAGGCTATCAAATTACAGAACTTTAAAGAAAATTTTAATAGCAAAGACCATTGTCCTATTCTAGGCTCAACAGAATAAATTATTCATCAAACCTCTTAAAATGAAATCATGTGTTCGATTTCCATCAGCATATTCATAAAATACGTTAAACACATTATTCTTAAGTGAAGTGGAAATGTTTTATGAATTGGCCCTGAAGAAGAACACATGGATAGCTATAATTAAAAGAAAAAATTACCGTTCCGACAAAATTGAGGAATTATTCCTGGTAACAACAATTTAATGGATTTAAAGTAAAATGTCAACAGAAATCGTTATTATTTCAATGCATACCTTTACCAAGAAAGAGGTCCTATATGTATGGAATTGCAAAATGAATACATTTGTCTTCCTTCCTACTTTTCTATACTTATTTGTACCGCATTTGGAAGCTACTGCAGTGAGTGGTAACTTTTTATATCAAGGGAACGTCTCTCTTGTCGACAAGTCTCTGTTGATATCCGAGGTAACACCGACAATTACCGAAATCTCATTACGTTATTGTGCTATAGAATGCTACAGAAACCTGGACTGTAACGCAGTGGAAATTTGTTCGTCCGTGGAAGGTAGTATTGTTCGGCTTAGTACAAGCATTTCCACGCCAATGGTTACTGGAACTAATACATGCTTCCGGTATGAATTGGTAAGAAATTAGTTAAATTATTTATGCAGGCTATAGAGTTATACCTACTTGATATAAAATTCAAAAATGTATTCACACTCAAATAAATTATACAGAAATGCGTTACAGTGTAACCGAACTTATCTGCATTTTTCTCTTTGACTCCATCTAATAATTGTGTTAATAATACTCAGTATGTTTTTATTGTAAATCTGCCCCTTTTCCTCAACAACATACAAATAGGAGAGGAAATATTTGATCCCTATACCTAGAGAGTTGTATGAAAAATTTGCAGAAAATGTCAATCTTTGTCAATTTATGTTAAAAAAGAAATCAGATTAATCCCTCATCATTTGTAAAAATAATAATTATGTTGATGTGTGCCTGCATTCAATGATATCAATTCGAAATCATGTCAAGTTTGAATTTTTTTTATACTTCGGAGCATTGTATTTTAACGACAAAAACAATTCACACACAATTTCCGGTGTTATATCCACTCTTAAAAAGGTTCTATATTCTCTTGGCGTTAAGTTTTCCCTCTCATAACATATGAAAAAAGTTCGTTGTCGATAACTAATGTTTTTTAAATTTCTTTAATTCTGGGCATTAAGTAATCATTTCACCCTGGATCAATGAAATGCAAAACATTTCATTTCCATATTGTGATTTCCCAGAAATCTGTAGGTGTGTAATTATTTGCTGATGTACAATTACGTTTGCACGTTTTAACGTATACATCTATTCAATATTGAAAGATCAATTATCAATGCGAATACGTTTGAAAGTCGTTAAATAAATATTTAAAGGTACTTGTTCTTACAATTCATGTATGTTTGCTTGTAAAGTTTTCGACATTGATTGTGCTTTCAAAGAGTAAAATTTTCATTAAATCCCGTAACATTGAATACAACAGAGAATAAGTTTTGTAAAGCGTAGTTTAGATCCTTTATAAAGCACATCACTTGTTTCTAGTTTTTTCCCCCACAATATTGTATATGCATGAATTGGTTGTATAAAATCATTGACGATGATGCATGTCTCATGGTTGATAAAGAAGACTTTCATTACATTTTAGTTTATTTTTATTTTGAACAGGAGCACACATGTGGAAGGGATTCTTACTATAACAGACGGAAAGGTCATTGCCAATGTGTTATAGGTGTGTATAAAAGAAATAGAAAACATAGTAATGAAATATGGAGACAACGAACAGTATAATTAAGCTCAAAAGTCAAATAATACAATTCAGGTGGAGAGCAAACGCGGACCACTAAAAACAATAGAGGTTTAATCAGGTGCCATTGAGGAGTAAATATCCCCTGTCAACCGGTCACATCCGCCGTACTCTATTGCCATGATCGGACAAACGGAAAAATACGGCGGTAATTTAGTGCTTAAATAATTACCAAACAATGAGTATAATAAAAATAAGTCAGCATTCAACTTAATGATAGACTGTATTTGATGATAATAAGGTCATTTAATCGACCATAGAACCGGTCACGGTAGCCTAGTGGTAGGGCATTCACTTCGTGATCGGGAGGCCCGGGCTTGATTCTCGTTCGCCGCACCGCGTCAGACCTAAGACGTTAACCTACATGTAGGTAGTCAATGTTCCTTCGTCAAGCGCCCGGCATTAAAAGTGAAAGTCACGGGACTTTCGGATATGACCTTATATGGATATGGTCTCGTGTCACGGTAGGCATTGGCATGATAAAGAACCCTCACTGCTCAATGGTTTTGAGTGCCGAGTATAGGTCTTAATTTGAAGCCCTTCACCGGCATTCGGTGACGTTTCTATATGAGTGAAAAATTCTCCAAAGGGAAATTAAAAACAAAATACAATCAATCAATCAATCGACCATAGTACTTGCGAAATGTTGACTTCAAACGAGACTGGTGATATTCTTGTTTCTTTCCATTGACTTGCTTGTCAATAGCTCGCTATAGTAGGACATGCGTAGAACATGCTCTTGCGTATCGAATCACAAATAATATTTATCATAAATTTTGATAAATTTTCAACAGTGAAACACTGTTATTTATTTATTGAATAAAAGTGATATTTTGTCACACTGAAAAGATATCAAAGTGATAATTTGTCACAGTTTAAAAGAATGTAAGAATCGGGCTAAAAAAGCCCGCTTGGCACAGTGGTTAGAGCGTTCGCTCTAGAGTCGCGAAGTAAGGAGTTGATTCTTACGTCGCAGGTTCGAATCCCACTGTAGGACTTCGGATGAGACCGTATAAACCGAGGTTCCGTGTCGCAGTAGGTGTTGGCACGAAAAAGATCCCTCACTGCTCAATGGCCCTGAGTGCCGAGTATAGGTCAAAATTTGCAGCTCTCCACCGGCAAGTAGTGGCGTCTCCATATTAGTGAACATTCTCGAGAGGGACGTTAAACAATAAATAAACAAAAAAAAAATCTCACAATTGCTAAGCTATGACGTCACTTCAGCCATGACACGGTTACAAAAAGACAGAGGCAAAGGAAAAATCGAAGAAAATGCATTAAAAAGAAAATTCAATATTTTGTGGTTGAATATGGAATTTATTTCACGTGTTGGTCAGGATTGTTGACATTTCTTTGAGTGCGATATCTAACCACAAAATATTTAATATCCTCATTGTATTTACATACAAGATGACGTGTTAAATCTGGTTTTGATAAGAAGTTAATATTATCTTACTGATGGATGGATTACATATGATTTGAACATATTTTATTGTTTAACACAAAAGGATTAGAAACAAGTTCTTACAACTTACAAGTTCTTCTCCTGATTACATATCGTTTAAATTCTGAGTAAATAAGCGTTTCGAGGGTGCTGTAAGTTTTTATGATAGAAGGATTGCATTGTTTAATTTTTAATGAAAATGAGTCATAAAAGAGAAGGAATTAATAAAAAAAAAACAAAAACAAAACAAACTCTCATTAATTTTTTAGAAGGACTAAAATTTCATGTTTTCTTTAGGTGACAACTGAAGAAGTAAAAATAAAATATATGTAGAAAAGGTAATTAAGAACCCATTCAGGGAAACAAAGTCACGGGTTCATAATTATTTTTAGGCCTTCATCTACTCTTTTCCTATTTGATATGCTTTTTAAAGGACGAAAGAAATAATAGTACTCAGCCTCCTGTAACGGAAACTCACTCCATGAAAATAAGATAAAAAGATTAATGTTTCATCGTTTCCATTCACATTCACTCGTCGTTTTTAAAATTTTGAGAGGTCTAAAGTCAATCGCCAAAAACAAGTATTTATTTTTTAATTAAAAACTGGTAAAATTTTGCAAAAATAAAGCTACTATTAAATTTTCAATTGATGGATGACAAAGTCATTTTCAATGTTTAAGAAATACTTTACAATTTCTTGTTTTCCTTTTGATATAGAAATGATCTGTCCGTTCAAAGCAACGAGACCGCAAGTTTCAATATTGTTGAGTGAATAGTCAATTAACATAAGCACAAATTTCTTAGGTTGGATTAAGTTTTGATTGACTTGTTTTAACCGATCATTAGGCGATTATACTTCGCTCTGCTCCCTATTTGTATTGTTTAATATATGGACTATGAGCTTGAATACTGTTCGTTATGTCCATATTCCATTAAAAGAAATAAATAGTACAGATTACTCCGTTTACCCGAACAATAAAGAGGGCTTAAGGTGATGTAACCGGTAAAGAGGGGATGATTACTCCTCCTAGACACTTATCCCTTTTCCGGTATTTCCAAGCTGGAATCTTTGCTATGTTCTTGATTTGTATTGTTTACAGGACTTATGAGATCAATAAGGTTTTGTCATCTTTACCTTTTTTCATTACTTTAAATTTTAAGAAAAGTTTAAAACATTAGTAGAATCTTATTTTAAGCAATGACAAATCAATAATATTCACTTGCATTTATTGATTTGAAAGTTTTAAATTTAAGACTGTGACTGTGGAGCTGTCACGCCATCTATCGGCGGAGTGTTGACTCACGGAGTAAAGTTAGATGGCCAACAATTCTCTGCAAATTGTATGAATACAGCTGGTCATATTTGGACGGTAAATTTTCAAATATTACATACTAATATCTATTTCAATTTAAAATTTCTTGAAAGAAACATTTTGACATCAATGGCATGATATCGAGAGATAAATGTGCGATATTCTTAACATAATATCTAAGTGCTAAATTTTCTTAACCATTTCTGTTAAAATTTGTTCCTTTAGATGATTCAAAGAAGAGTTGACGGTTCTGTGAACTTCTACAGGGGATGGATGGAATATAAAAAAGGATTTGGTGACCTAAATTCTGAGTTCTGGATTGGTTGGTGCATTGCATAAAAATATATGCGATGTATAAAAAAGGGTTGGAAAATGATAGTTTGGCGAATGCTGTGGCCATTTTTTTTTTTAGAAAAGAAAATAAATATTGTGAAGACTTAAAAGAAGTCATTAATCTAATTAGCTGATATTTTTTTGCATTTACTTTCATTTTCAAAGAAAAATTATTCATCTATTTCCAAAAACTTCTTTGAGATTGGTTTTAATAAATTCATATAATTATTCTGTTAGGATGCAGTAATCATACAGAATTAGGGTTGAACATTATCTATTTGTCCTTAAAAATGTATATACAAAATTAATTACATTCTAACATCATCTTTGAGTAATGATACGGTTCATTAATATTCGTTTGTTTTTCATGTACATTTCAAGGGCTTGACAACATCCGCCTGCTGGTGAACAATGGCTTTACAGTCCTACGTGTGGAATTAGAATACGGTACAGAATCAGTGTATGCAGAATACAATAGTTTCTCTATTGCAGGAGAGAATGACAACTATCGAACCCATGTCTCTGGATACAGCGGAACGGCGGGTATGTGAGGATTAGATTCTTATGCTTTCGAGTAATCAAGCTTAAAAGTCCATTGAAACAATAAAGAGCAAACGCCAACCTCTAAAAACATCAGAGGTAGGATCAGGTACCATGGAGTAGTAAGCGACCCTTGTTGACCGGTCACACCCGCCGTGTGCTTATTGTCATGATTGGGCAAACGGAAATATCCGTTGACAATTCAGTGTTTGAACAATGGCCTAACAATAAATATGAAAAGCGTCACGGATTCAAAGAAGGGATTGCAATGGTTTATGCTACAAAAATGAACTGCATTTAAGTATAACCAGTCATAAACAAATTCCCCGAAGTTTTCTTTCAAATTTGATGATATTGTTAATATTTAGACATGAACCCAGATATTTTTTTACGAAATAAAATTCTGAATAAAACATTTGATCAAGGACGTTAAATTGCAATGTACTCCAAAACTGTTGGTGGAAAAAAAAAATCAGCAACAAGAAGAAAAACAACACTGGATATTTTTTTTTTCTTCAAATCATCAGTTAAATAGATTCTTTCCAAAAATTTAATTGATAATCCCTACTGCGGTGAAATAAACTTTAATAACTTTAATATTAAACTAGAGAAACATTCTGTGCCCAACAATATGTCTCCACCTAGTCTTAGTCCGATACAAGCGTAAGGGTAAATGAACAAGAGATATATTCAACTCTAGAGTTCCTTCCTGAGAGAGTTAATTGGTGCATTGAAATTGAGAGAAATTTGCCCATTTAAAAAAGATTTGTTAGTTTGATTTTTTTTAAAAAAAATATTTTTTGAAAAGAATTTTAGAGAATTCTACACTTGGCTCATCTGACATAGCAGTAACTATTTTCCGCAAATGCGCTAAAAGGTATTCAAAGCTAATGTAATATCTTTACAGTATTTTAGATGTACAGTCTCGAGCTTACTTGTTCATATTTTTTCCCTATACATGTAGTACATGATTTAACCCAATACTGACAAACGAGAACTGGTCATTTATTTTAGGAATTTAATTTTAAAATCATTAAATAACTATGGGTGTAAAATTTCGTTGCTTTTTATTGGTTCAAATTTTCCGCTCAATAATACAACCGTAGTAACGGAAGTGATGGGAAGCGAGGGGAGGTAAAAACTGATACATAAGCCTAGCAGCCCTGTTGTTTGTTAGCATGCGGTAAGATCGAATTATTGTTTGAAGTTAAAGGTACATTTATTAAAACTGGAATTTTCCATGAATCCCGAGGACTGGAAATGAGAGGATTGTATGGATACAGATGATTCAGCTGGTTGTCGGAAGGGGGGGGGGGGGTGTCCCCATACCAAACCAGGTTATACAGAAATAATTTGTGTTCCTTTTTGGATATTAACCAATCAGAGGCTAGAATACAAACAAAATTAAATTATTTCATGTTAGTTTCTTCTTATTTGATTTTGTACATGTAGTTCAATAGCTACCAGTCGCCCGCGTGTCACAGTGGTTAGAGCGTCTGCTCTAGAGTCGCGGAGTAAGGAGTTGATCCTTACGTCGCGGGTTCGAATCCCACTGTGGGACGTGGAGACCGGTCCTTCGGATGAGACCGTATAAACCGAGGTCTCGTGTCGCAGTAGGTGCTGGAACGATAAAGAACCCTCACTGCTCAATGGCCGTAAGTGCCGAGTATAGGACAAAATTTTCAGCTCTCCACCGGCAAGTGGTGGCCTCTCCATATGAGTGAAAAATTCTCGAGAGGGACGTTAAACAACAAACAAACAAACAAAAACAATAGCTACCAATTTTGTGCTATGTAATAGAAATTTTATGTAATTTTGAAAATAGTTTACTTTTGGGAATTACGATAAAATTTAATTCTCTATCTATTAGACAGAGGAGAAAAATTATTACTTATTTAGGGAACGAGTTTTTTGATACGTTGATAAATACACCACAGAGAAGCTTCCTTTTGAAAAGCGTTTAAAAGGCGTGGTAGTGTCCCGAAAAGAACAAAAACTTCCAATTAAAAGGGGAGGAAAACAGTTACATGTAACCTTCTGCAATGTTGACGTAGATTCTCATGAGAATCTTAACAATTGGGAATGCCCAGTATTGAAATTTATATACTTTAACAGATTCATGAAAACACTCTTCACATATGGTTGTACCTCAAAATATATATATTTTTTTCTGTTTCCAGGAGACGGAATTTCGTGTACAAATCTGTATTGCAACAATGATGCGCAGTTTTCCACATTCGATAATGATAATGACGCTCAACCGACACAAAATAATGCATTTAACTGGCGAGGAGCATGGTGGTATCACGGGGGACATATGTCAAACCTAAATGGTGAATATGGCAATAACAATCATGGACAAGGAATAAGCTGGTATTATTTCAAAGGATGGACAGTTTCTTTGTCTAAAACCCGGATGATGCTTCGACGACCTTGAACATTATTAGCAACCTCTACAGTTTAATACCTGAGATAGTATGACTTTCACAAAGAATATGAGTTTTTTTCATTTCTAATTTCATTTCAAAAGCTTTTAAGTTTTTGGAAATCATTGTTTTATTTCATTTTCAATTTTACAAACCATACTGACAATCCAATAGCAATTTCAAATAAATTTGTTTCTTTTGATAAATTTTAGAATTGTTACTGATTAGAAAGTAAAATGTATCATACTAAATGGATTTGCGTAAGGAATTGCTGCATGAAAAAAGATATATCAAATATTATGTCCCATTTCAAAGAATTATATTTTCTCATATTGAACCAGTCTTGTGACAAACAGCTGAGGTATGCCGATCTCGGTAGAGACACGCTGTATACAAATGAATTTAGTAGAATTCCCATTTATAAAAAAAAAATAATGTTTAACAAATACATCATTTACTGAGTTTTTTACCTGTTCATTCTCTTACGTCATACCACTCCCGAGATCATATGAGATGCGTGTTGCGCATCCAAATCAGTACTTCAAAGCTAATCAGTGTTTAAGCATCCAATCAAAGTAAAATAAGTATGAAGTCAACACCAGTGAAAAAGAATCGGGAGGGGGGTATGGTACTAGTAGCTCTGACCCAAGCGGTGGCATGGGCTTTTGACTCACAGAATCCCTACCAAAGTTCGCCTTTAACCGAGGTAGGACTCTATTAGTTGGGGGTCTCTGCTAATAACTAATTTCGAATTTTCTATGGACATCCTTAACCTAATTGCAACTGAGCAGAAACAATTTTGCTGAAAACAAAAGGAACGACTGTAATATAAATATTATAATCTAAACAACCAAATATCTAGACAAAAAATCTGTTTTGGGCATTTTTTTATGGTAGTATAGCGTGAATTAATCCAACCATCATTTGAAGGATTTGTTTGTACCCTTACTCGATCACGTTTCTTTGACGGAAGGATGGAAATATTACTTCTGCTGTTAAAATCGTTTATATCCCCTGCAAAAGCGTCAGTTTTTTCCTGCACCAGACGACTGTTTGGCAACACGTGAATGGAGAAAATCTGAGCATAATCTGGCGACTGATCTTTAAAAAATTCCGGATTCCGAATCATTCTTTTCCCCAGTGTTGACATTTGTTTACATGAATATTTTTCCTTTTCTGTCAATCTTATTATCGCTTTGCAATCGACACTAAATGCTTCTCTTTTCTTGATGAAGGAAAATGAAAATAAAATTAGAAATAATGTAAATCTTTTAAATAAAATGTACTCTTAGATTCCGAAATCTTTATCTACATTAGACGGATGGGAACAAATACATCGATCCACTATAAATATTTCCGTCTAAGTCATGATACACAACTGACCATATCAACATTCAAGCTACTGCAGCTGTACTGTTCAAATATTGCCATGCATTAGCTTTTAGTATAAGTACGATTTTCGATATTATGATTATAAGAAAATCATGCAGGGTAAAATATCTCCCAAAAGGATACATGATGTAACCACTTTGTATATGTAAAAAAGAAATAGATATGTGCTGTCAGTAATTAGAGTTTGAACTTGGAAAATATAAAAGTAGAAACATGGTGGATTGTTGGGGTTTTCTTTTTAGATATTTTGAAATTAACTTACAGTAGTAAACAATGGTCACTTGAAAGCAACTTTTAGAATTTAATTAATCTATTCACGGCTACAGCAAACAAAAGCACAATCAAACAATACTTTGCAGGTTTTACTTGACATGATGCAAGGAATATACTTTAACGTTTTGCAAAGATTGGCTGGGCAGTGCTTACAAAAATGAAATTGAAAAATTCGCATATTTTGGCTGTTTCCATGGCAACAGGTTTTCTTTCAACAATTAATAACGTTTTTGGCACAACTAGAGATTGTGATTGTCATGTTTTTGAAGTATAATGAAGATCGTCCGAGCCATCTACCAGATCATTTGCGGGAAAAATTTGTGAAAAGTTAACTGTTTTGCTTATAATGTTATGGTGACAGTCAACTGATTGCTTTCCCTGAGTTGTTCTTTAGTTGAATGCTATCTTTATGAAAATTTCATGTGGAAAAAAAACTTTCTTAAACAATGTCGCATGGCGACTGCTTGACGGTCAACTAGACATTTTGGTACGGGAAGTTGACGATCACATCTGTGTAGACGATTATTTGTCCTATTCTCTCATCTTATCTTCTTCCCCTACAGTGGCAGTAAGTGCTACTGTATTTGTGATAACTGAAAAATAAATAAAATTGGCACATGTAATGTAAATTTTTGTAATGAAATGCACTCTACCGTTTTGCCACCTCTATCTGACTTGGAGCCCAAGATGTATCAATAAATAAATTGATCCACTATAAATATTGACCAAAGCTGTTTTAAGGAGGCTGGGGGGTCAACAAATTAACCATCAGATATAACTTATTTTTTTTAGATATGATATCTTACGCTGTCAACTATCATTTGGCAAAGAAAAAATTCATACATTTTAGTTTTAAAATTTGATCATTTTTGTATATCTTTATATGGAGGTCTTCTTCTAAAGGAGATCAATATAGTCTAAAAATGGCCACGACCACCCAGCCCTCTTAAATCCATGATTCATTTGTAATATTCACTTAAACATTTCAAGCAACTACCGCTGTACTCTTCAAAATATTGGCATACAATGGCTTTTGAGATACAGGTATACATACATTTAAAATGTCAATAATATATCCCTATAAGGTTAATGAGTAACATAATATTATGCAACTCTAGTTTATGTTGTTCTTCCTTACTATATGCTGTCAGAAATAGACATTTGATGTCAGAAATAGACATTTGAAGTCGTAAAATATAAATCATAGCATCAAATTTGATTATTCATATTAACATGTTTTAAAATTTATTCAGGAGTAAATAACTGTCAATTTTTTGTAATACCAAAAAATGTATCAATATAGTTTCCTTTAAACAATCAAAGTCGATTTCAATGAATAAAAATTGTTGTCCAAACATGATTTTTCATTGTAAATTGTTAAGGACTGGATTTAAATTTTCAAGCAGTTGCTCCATTCAGAGCTGATATACAAGTCATTGTGATGATCGGGTTTAAATTTTTGAAGGCGTCATAAAATTAAATAAAATACAATAAAAATTTTATATAAGCTGATGAAATAAGCTGATAAAATAATGAGTTGTCTATGAAAAGTCTAAAAGTTTAGTTCATTTTAAGGTGCTTTGATTTCTACTGTTAATTAAGGGTAGAATAGCTAATTATCTTCGATTGTTTGCAATATGAGGACTTAAATTAATTTCAAAGAAAAGAAAATTGATTTAAATGTTCAACTTTCGTTTAATCAAGAACGAATGGCAATATACATGTATCTTTTAAAACGCAATACAGAAAATTTATAAATTGAATCTTAATTGTTGATGATGGTGTTATATATAATTAACTAGATAACTTGTTTTCCTTTCATGAAGAGGAAAACCAATAGCTGTGATAATGTCTCGCCGTTTCAACATTTCGCTGACGTCAATTTATTTTTCAAATCATGGTGTTTTTATAAATTGGTCACTGATTTTTATATTTCTATACGGTTTAACAAAAATTAGGAAGTAGACGTGTACGTTTTATAAATTTTGTAGTCGTTTTGATTGATGTTTATCAAATATGGCCTAGGTAACAGAAAAAGAATATAACCAACTCAGTACAGACCAATATTTGCTTCAATTAATGTATTTGTGTAATTATGCAAACACTCTCAATTTATTTTCCTTACTACTCAATTCATTACATAAAAAAATATGATTTCGCTTGTAGATCAAAACACAAATACACATATACAAATATCTAAAAATTAAACCAAATTTCTTCAATAATGTTTAGAATCATCCAAAATTTCAGGTAAAGGAAGTTTCTTTGATTTTTAATTACTGAATCAAGTATACATCAACAAATCAATAAGAATGATGTCCTAATTTCGATTTTCATTAACATGGAGTACTTAACTCGTGAACGTACTGTAAACACTTTATTATTCTTAGGCTAAATGGAAACAATTTTCTGAGTGGATCGTGAAAGGTCACATGAATATTGCTTTGTGCTTTTGTACGTTTACCATTTTGAAAAAAAGTGCTCAGATTAAGAAACCTTTTATGCGCATGAAACGTATCTAAATGAAAATATCATCGAAAACATTTTCGGGTTCTTATATTCCTTTACAGATTTACTCATTGGCAGAATTAAAAGATGAATTTCTTAATATTTTTTCATACATTTGCATTCTTGTGTGTACCACATTTGGAAGCCACAATTGTACATGGGAACTTTGTATATCAAGGAAATGTCTCTTATTTTGACAAATCTTTATTGATATCAGAATTAACTCCGACAATCACGGAAGTCTCATTACGTTATGGCGCTGTAGAGTGTTACAAGAACTTAGACTGCAATGCAGTGGAAATTTGTTCATCCGTGACAGGAAAAATTTTCCGACTTAGTTCAAGCATTTCCACAGCAATGGTAACCGGAAATAATACCTGTTTTCGATATGAATTGGTAAGAAATCAGATTGAATCTTTTAATTTAAGGTAAGAAATTAAAAAAAAAAACCGCTTGAATAGCTTAGTATGTAAGATGTTTTCAATTATTAAAATAAGCATTGATAACAACTGTCGGAATTTGATAGTAACCTATCACATTATTTTATCAAAAAATAAATTTACCTGTTTCCCTAACCTAAACATCTTATACCTGTTTACAAGAGAGCAAAACATTTTATTAGTATACATGCATACTGTAAAAAGGAAGCTTCCATAACTTACTTATAATTAACTGAGATGAATTTCTAAATTATTCAGGATTTATAATGAAAGGTCTGTTACGATATTTCTAAAATAAATGCTAGGATGTTTATGCATTTAAAAAAAAATAATCATATGCTATGTTTTTTTAATGAGTTTAACTCTATTTTTATGTATAAAAAATATTTGTTTATAGAACTTTATTTTGTTGTCCAATGTATTAATAAAAATTCAAGGAAAATGCATAAACTTTATAACAATTGTAGATCTACGCATTTTCTAGCTTTTTACAAAATATCAAATAAACCGTGCGAATAAATGTTGTTTACCTGCAATTTGATTTCTCACGTTTCCGGCTCTAGAATTCTTCTAAAACCAAGAACAGATATCAAGTGACTATGCATATTTTTTTTAGGAATAATGGAGATGTTTAAATTGAAATCATGATATTAATAACAAAAATCTTTGATAATCGTTCAAAAAACAAATATGCCTTTTAATTTTGTTTATTCAAGCAGAAGCCATGTTATACTGAAACAATTGAAAACATATTGATTTCATTATTAAATATCATGAAACATACAATGCACGATAAGAGTTATTGAGTTCACTGAATAAATAGTACAGAAGTCAAATTTTATTCGTACATTTCTATAAAAAAAAAATTAAATAGTATCAGTTTTTGGCATGCAAAATTGGTATTCTCATTAATCAATTTTTCAACCGATTAAGAAGGGATTAAAATTCTTCTTAAGATTTACAAAAAATGAATGACATACATATAATGAATTAACCAGACATTATGAAAGTAAATTAGGGTTATGAAATACGCGACATTTCCTGTTTTCACATTATCTTAAATGAACTATTTATTTTAGAATCTAAAATACAATGTGCAGTAAAACAGTAAAATTCGGTTTTTACGATTACTTTTTTTTTTTTAAATTCTCGCTTTTAGCAAGGTAATCTAGATCTGTATTCCCTAAAGTTTCATGAACTGAACGGGTATAACAAAGCACAATTAAAACGAATCAGAACTGTTCGTCCCTGGCCCTTTACCATAAATTTGATAAACAGTGTAAAGCAGTCTGAACATTAATGTTGATTTCATAGAACATTTGAAGCAAAATATATTTCCTTTTAAGACTTTTACTTTCAACAGATGCATACATGTGGATGGGGTTCCTTTTATAACCGACGTAAGGATGAATGCCAGTGTGTTATAGGTGGGTATGATTAATATCCGATGTAGGGGTCACTGGCAGTGTGATATAGGTTGGTAGGATAAATAACCGATGGACGAGATATCGTCAATGTGCTTTAGATAGGTATGCTAAATAACCGATGAAAAGAAATATTTTCACTGTAATATGGGTGGGTATGATGATGATTGATGGAAGGGATGTTATCAGTGTTTTAGGTAGGTACATGTATAATAAATAACCGATAGAAGAGATATTTCCAGCGTGTAATAGATTTGTATAATAAAATAACCAATAGGAGTAATATTGCAGGTTTGTTATAGGTCAGTATGATTAATAATCGATGGAAAGTATTTTGATTGCCAGTGTGTTACATTGAGTAAGATATTGCCTCATTACCGACAGGCGGCTCATTGTAAGTGTGATAAGGGTGGATACGAAACATGAACGTTGGAACACAAATGTAATGGTAAGGAATTTGAGTGGGAGAAAATAATTTACAAGTTACCTGAACAATCTTTGACAAGAATTCATTTATTATCCAAGGTATGTTCCAACTTCTTCTGTAATATTTGTTGGAGTACATTAACATGGAAAGATTTTATTATTCTGCAACAAATATTCGTTAAATTTAAGGCTGTGACTGTGGAGCTCTTACACCACCTGTCGGCGGAATTTTGACTCAAAAAGTGGCGTTAGATGGCCAACAGTTTTCTACCAACTGTATGAACACAGCCAGTCACATTTGGACGGTAATCTTTTTTCTAGTAAAAAAAAAAAAAAAAAAAAAAAAAATGTATGTAATTGAGATTTTGAATTTTCCTACGTTCCTCCTTTTTCATTTTACCATTTTTTCTATAGATGATACAAAGGAGAGTTAATGGCTCTGTCAACTTTTACAGAGGATGGACGGATTATAAAAATGGATTTGGTGACCTCAATTCCGAATTCTGGATCGGTGAGTTATAACTCATGTTAAAATTTATGTCTCTTAAAAGAAAATAATTTAAAATTAAAATGTAACGGTATGCTTATCGTATTAGCATGTTCATCAGATGGAAGTTATGATAATTATTTGAAGAAGATGTACTGCCTTTCTCTGCACCGTTAGATTAAATATTCAGTATTTTGATTTATTTATAAGATTTTATTCAGTAGTAAAGATTAAACTCAAGAGATCTAAAATATAAGAAATAACGGATTAAATTGAAAACTATTTAGAATTACAATAGGGAACTATTACAAGCAAAACGCATATTTACAAATACTTACTATCCATAACTTCAGGGCTTGACAATATTCGCCTGTTGGTGACCAATGGGTTTACAGTTCTACGTGTGGAATTAGAATACGGTGCAGAATCGGTGTATGCTGAATACAGTAGTTTCAACATAGCAGGAGAGGGTGACAAATATCGAATCCAGGTCTTTGGGTACAGTGGAACAGCTGGTATGGATTCAATTCTCGGTTATTTTCCGCGATGACAAACTAAATTTTAAAAGATGGCAAGCTATGGAACAAATTACATGCATCTGTTTTCCTTAAATTTTCAACAAAGAAATACTGTAATTATCTGTTGGAAATATTTGAGTTTTAAACTCAAGCAGTGGGGAAATCAAACAAACAAACAAACAAAAAAAAAAAAAAAAAAAAAAAAAAAAAAAGGTGTCACATATTTTTTGCGTGAAAAACAACAACAACAACGACAACAACAACAAAACAAGAAGTGTTTCTTTTTACAAGGAGAGAAAGGAATTTCGCAAGTAATGCTTTTTTTTTTTTTTTAAATTTTATCTTTTTTTTTCAAAAAATGCTAACTCTGACAAAAAAAGTCGAAGTTTCTGAAAAAATTTGTTAAGTTCCATGTTCAAACTCACAATTGCTTGTCAATGACGTTACAACCAATGTAACAGTTTTACAAAGAGACAGATAATACGAAAAGGAGCAAAATGAAAAAAAGAAAGAAAAAAAAAACAAACAAAAAACTTTTGAACATCAGTACAGTCTTTTACTTGGATTTTACATTTATTCAGAAATGAGTCTGAAATTTGCTTTAATTCTTGTTCCGCTCATGAAATGAATTCCATATCAAAGAATAAAACATTGAGTATGCCGTGATGTCAAACCTCAGCTTAGTCTCTAAATGTTTATACGTCATCGGACCAAGATTATTGAAGGTTTTAAAATTTTATTCTAAGAAATGTTGCAAGAAAATAATTTTAAGAAGTAATGTCTCTGTTCATTAATGAATCAGAAATAAGAAACAAATAATACTGCATGATATTTCTGCTTTTAATGCCTTAAAAGAGGGATTATTTTTCAATAACTGAACTTGTCAAATAAATTTTTTAAAAGTATTTTTTAAAAATAAAATCATGTGAACATTTTTTGTAAGAATTATGATGAAGACCTACAGATATGTATTTCAAAGTTTATCTCAAAGAAGCACATTCTTTCTGAAAGTTTTTTTCTGTAAATAATTCTAACATATATCTGAAATTTTGTAGTGTAGAACAGTTTGAGGAAATTGATTGTCGCAGTGAAGGGGGTATTAATTGTTAATTATTTATTCGGTCGTATTAGGTTCTATTTTTTTCTAGACTTTCTGTTTTTTTTTTTGTTTGTTTGTTTGTATTTTAATTACCGTCTCATATTAATGAACAAGTCTGGACAATTTCCAAATATGGAAGTCAAGAACGATAACCGTAAATTGCTATAAATGCACAGAAAAAACAAGTTACTAATCCTTTTGACCAAACAAATAGCTGCATCTAGACATACCCATTGGAAAATAAATAAAACACGTTGTTTTAGAGTTTTTTGCTCAATAGATTTTTTTTAGAAAAAAACTTTTTGTAAACTTTATGCACATTTAAGAATGATAAAGAATATATGACAATTCTACCGTGAACAAACTCGACTTGAAAGCTTAGAATAGATTCTAAGTAGGATTTAAAACCTATCACTACGAGGTAGCAACCCCAAAAGTTAACCTGTGTAAAGAAATTTGAAATAGATACTGCAGATTTTCAGTTTTTAGAGCCTAACATGAAAACGTTTTCGTATGGGAATATAACGGTCTAACGGTTATATTCTAACAATATATAACACCACATGGGCGTTAAACAATAACGCTACATTGACGGTACATTTCTAACAATATATAACACCGCATAGACGCTAACAATAACGCTACATTGACGGTACATTTCTAACAATATATAACACGACATAGACGTTAAACAATAACGCTACTTTGACGGTACATATCTAACAGTATATATTTACATTTGCTATGTTTTTCTACTAAGGCAACTGTGCAATTGGTTTGAAGTTCATTTTTGTGTATACTCACGCGTAGAAATATACACGGTGAAACTCGCGGTAAAGTGACGTCAAATGAGGCTGCAGAGACGTTAATAAAAATGTAACGATATAGGGCAGCAAGAAATTCAAATATTGAGCATAATATTGTTGCTTTTGAACTTGTAAAATGTAAATATAAGGAATGTTTTTCAGTTTAGTGTGAATTATTGGTGTGTAAATCACACAGACTTGCACGTAGGCATATTTTTCATGAAGCGCTAGCGCGCTTCATGAAATATGCCTACGTGACAAGTCTGTGTGATTTACACACCAATAATTCACACAAAACTTAAAAACATTCCTTAAATAAAACCGCATAGACGCTAACAATAACGCTACATTGACGGTACATTTCTAACAATATATTACACACATAGACGCTAACAATAACGCTACATAAACGCTAACAATATCCCTACATAGATGCAACATGTAATAATAATACTATAAAGACACTCAAATTCGTTTCATAGACGCTTTAAATTCGAAAAGTAGTTACATGTAAATGGTCAAATAGTTTCCGAAAATGGAGACATATTTTTTATGAGGAGGCAAACAATTCATCGTACTTTACAATGTATCTAAAACATATACAACACACTACTAAAACAGGAGCTTACTACACATTTTTTTTACGATAGTTTTCTTATGTTTTCAGGAGACGGAATTTCATGTGTACATCAGCTCTGCAGCAATGGAGCTCAGTTTTCGACATTTGATGATGATAATGACGGCGACCCAACAGATAATAACGCAGAACTGTGGCGAGGAGCATGGTGGTATCGAGCAGGACATATGTCAAACCTCAATGGTGAATACGGCAATAACAATCATGGACAAGGAATAAGCTGGTATCCTTATAAAGGATGGACCGTATCTTTGTCTAAATCGCGGATGATGCTTCGAAGAGCCTAAAATCTCTCTTCAACTTAAACAGTGTTATTCACCAAGATTGGAAAAAAGTTTTTGCATTTGAATGTTTACATGTTGAGTTCTTAGGTGTCATAATGTTTGTCATTATTCGTGTTTACAAACCTTATCATTTATAATCCAGAAAAAGCGTTTAGGGTAGAACTCTTTGATTTTCACTAAGCACTACTGGTGCATTTGAAAAAAAAGAATTAATCATATCATGCATTTGAATAAAAAAAAAATTCTTGTGTAGAATATTGCGAAAATATGTACATTATTTAAACACTATCGTCATGAAATGCCTTTTCGCAAGTAAACATGAGTAAAACTAAAAAAAAAGGTTCTCTGATGAAAATCCGCTTTTGTCGTTTTGCTTACTGCTTTATAAATCTAATAAAATGATGCATTGAGAAACTTATATGTTTCGCTTATTTGCTATGCCGAGCACGTATGGCAAGGTTGATATGCTTCTCTGAGAGTCGATATATCTACGGAGTGACCGTTTGAAAAGCTACATTTGTTATATATTTTTTAAAGATATGGCGAAGATATTGAGGTATTGAGAAGAAGAAAACACTTGCTATGACCTTCAACTCGACATTTAGATATATCGACGACGTATTATCAATTAACAATAGTTATTTCTAATCACATGTCGACACGATATATCCCAATGAGCTCGAATTAAAAGATACAATAGAGTCTGACACATTTGTTTCATATTTAGATATTTTACTAGAAATGGTAACCTAACACCTAAGCTTTATGATAAACGTGATGACTTTCAATCGTTAACTTCCATGACTTGTGCAGCAATATACCGTTACCACATGCACACAGGGTTTCTATTTCTCAGTTGATTCGATGCACAAGAGCATGTTCTACGTTCGAACGATTTTTAAAACGAGATACGTTATTGTCAAACAAGTTGATGAAACAACAATATCAAAAGTCATCATTTCTTAAGTTCTATGGTCGATGCAACAATACAATGGTACCTAATCCCACTTCTGATGTTTAGGAGGTCTGTAATTGCTCTGCTTCTGATTTGTATTGTTTAAATAGATTTTTGAGCTTTAGTACTGTTCGTTATGTCCATATATTTCATTGATAAACAAAATTTAAAAACAATTGGAGCAAAGTTTCAGACTAGACATGTATGATAGGTGTTTAAATTTAACTCTGTTTAATATCCTTTATACTAAAGAGATGATTTAGAGAAAGTATCAAATCAAATGCAAAATCTGTTTTTATAATTTTTGCATCAATTTATGCTGCAAATAATTAAAACATCAATGTTTACAATCTAGAGAAGATCCATATTTAAAATATGTACTTTATCAACATTATAACGTCATAATTACAAAAAGGAATCGATATTTATGTTTGTAGAAATTTCTGGTCAATCCGATTTTTTATTTTTATAATTTGAAAGTCATGTTTAATCCACATTTCTTTACCCTGACACGTGATATCAAACTAACCAATAAGAAAGTTCTTCACAATGTATGAAAAAAATATTAAGAGATATCAGTTGAGGAAATAAGATAATCCATTAATCAGTTGTATTCTTAATGTAATGGTGGATATTTTTGCCAGTCGTCAATTGGGCGAATTAGAGGCAAGAACTATACCATTCTTTCTATAATATCAGAGGTACCCATCTCCTATCCGGAACTCCTCCTATACCACGAAATAAAATTTAATGATACTTTTACATATTCTTTATCACATGGTGTCATTGTGCACCTCCTTCTTTATATTTTGATCAGACAGATATCTGTGCTTTACCAAAGCAAAAAATGCCAGTATACTCATATGGGAGTATATGGAAATGGGGGTATAATTTTGTGAGCTCACTGCTCACAGTGCCTTAAGTTCAAGGTATGATCCTTTTGACTAGGATGGGGAAACAAAGGGCCTAAATATGCGGATAAAAGTAGGAGGAATCTTTAAGTAACGTTTCTCAAGGCAACAGGATGGCAATAAGCGACGTCAAAACATTTGCACAGAAGTTTAGAGAAACATAAATTATAAAGGGAATTAAAATATCAAATTCCCGGATGTTTACATGTACATCATTTGATTTTTGCTCAAAGTAGTGAAGAGAACTGAATAGATACAGACACGTGCCATAAGTCACCGGCAAAAATGGCGTCACGGCGTTTGTTTACGTTGTGTTACGGGATTGTTTAAATGGAAAATAAATATAATAAAATGACATATCTGTGTTCAGTATTTTGTCATTTCCCCCTTCACCCTTATTACTTTTCTCATACGTCTTGGTAAAGATCTATAGAGGCCCTGTATATATTCTACTGTCAAAGCTTGCCACTCCTGTGTTATTGCATGTGAAAGTTCAGCAGCAGTCTGAATGTTTTCAGCGCGACATTGCAATCGTCTTTTAAGTTTCAACCACACATTTTCTATTATATTCAAATCAGGCGACTGTGCTGGCCAGCTTATAGAATTAATATTATCCCTAGCCTTATAATTTTCAACATCCCTGGCTCTATGAATAGGAGCATTGTCATCTTGAAACAAGAAATTTCCATTAGGAAAGTGCCGTGCTTTTACGGCCCATAAATTATTTTCTAAGATTTCAATATACTTGTGTCTGTTAATAGTACCGTCAACAGTTGTTACAGTTCTCACACCATGCCAGGTTATGCACCCCTAAATCATAACACTGACCTTTCGTTGAGCTGGGGGGCAGACGCACTCGGGAGACTTGGATTCATCCTTGCGACGCCATATGAAAATCCTCTGATTCGCACCCAAAACAACTTGGCTTTCGTCAGTAAAAATGACTTTATCCCATTGACCATTAACATTCCACATGACTTTAACCCTACACCAGTTCAGTCTCTTTTTCCTGTTCACTTCCCTCACTCTCACTTTCTTCTTTACAACACGTCTGTGATACCCTTGCCGATATAAACACCTCTGAGCTGTTCGTTGAGACACTTGTCTGGGTCTATGTTGATTAAATCACCCAAAGGAGTTTTACGGTTTGTCCGAACCAGTCTCACTAAACACCTTTCATCCCTGGGATCAAGAATCCGTGGTCGCCCGCTTCGAGGTTTGTTTTCCGTGCTCCCCCTCTTATCAAATCGTACTATAACATCGGAAACTGTTCCACGGCGAATGTTGAGTGTATCAGCAATATGCTGTAATGTATATCCCTCATTCCTCATTGAGACAATAATATTTTTCACATCAGGGTTCAATTCTTTCCTTTTTTTTCTGCCATTTTTGAAACCAAACAATCTATTAAAAATAGTGCAGACGACAGTCTAGCTTCCGGAAATTACGTAACAAGAAATGCGGGGGAATTCCAAAATACTAAAAATAGAACAGACAACAACGCTTTTTGAAAGTAAACAATGCTTTTATTATGTGGTATTTTTTCATTCGCCGCCATTTTTAATTTTTGCCGGTGACGTATGGCACGTGTCTGTAGTTGATGCCCTATTGGCTGAATTAATGTTTTAAATGAATTATTGAATGAATGAATATTGCAGAAAATTTAGAAATAATAGGGAAGATTGTAGGAGTGGAGGTTTACTTCAGTAGATACAGTTTTTCATTTAATTCTGATCACTGTAATTTGTAAACAACTAAAAATTTGAACAAAAAAAAAAATGCGAATGGACGCTATATTTGCTGTATTTATGTAAGTGAACCAATCAAAGCTTCATTTGATGCCGAAGATTTTTTTTTTTAAAGTGCAACTGTAAAGTACTGAGAGGGCCTAAGGTTTATATAGATTTCTACTGAAAATTAATTTGTACTCTTTTCCCATAAAAAAATCGTCCTGGTTCAAATCATTATTGTTCGTGTTACAATGAGGACATAAAGATACCTACATGAATTTTAATTGACCAAAAGTAAGGGAAGCCAGAGCGTCCAATTGGAGAATTTGTAAGTATTTTGCAATCTGAAGAAGATTTTGTCAGATGATGTGTCAGATACTAAGATCTTAATTGTAAGTTACCAGAATGGATAAAGAATGTAAGATAGATAATTATAATGAAATTCATTTTTAAGAACTAATATGCAGCACTAGTGAAGTATCTTGATACCCTCCACTAATGTGTTAATGATTTTAGGCGGCATGTAACATTAAAATGTATTCAAATTTTTTCTATATGAAACAAATGCTTTAAAAAGGTTTATAATAATAAAAATAATACATTAAATAAGGGAAAAATCAATAGCTTGAATAGCTTGAAAACGCTTGTCTTATTTTAAACTTAGACAAATAAAATATATCTCAATTTTATTTTTAAAAAATGAAATCAGTGTTCCATTTTCATTATCATTTTCACCTACTGTTACCAGTAAACTATATATACTGAACTGGTCGTAAAAGGCAGCAAATGTATATCCGTGATTTTTTTCCTTAAAAATTATAGGTTTAATAAAAGCTCGGATTGAGGTATTCCTTGAAATTGCAAATGATTGGTAACTAAGGTAAAATATCAGCAGAAATCGTGAAAGTAAGAAACTCATTATACCTATTGTCTCCTTCAATCTTAATTGGTAAAACTGGACTGTTTTATTCATCTGTCATGGGTGCATGCAAGTCAATATAATATTTCTGTCTTGGTAAAGGGAGGTCTAAATAGACAATCCCTTTTTATATTAAAAGTCTTTTTACGGAACATTTTAAACATTAGTAGTTAGTAGTTCATTTACTTATAGAACATTAGAGCTAAATATGAATTCACTTATGGATGAGGAAAATATATAATACTAAACCTCGGTTAAAACCTTCCTCAAAAGACCTGCTCAGCCGGAATTAGCAAAAGTAAAGTAGTAGGAACTCTTTTTAAATGGCAATCCCATTTGTTTTTCAATCCCTGAGGCCAATTAACATTGTGAAACACAAGGGTCTAAATGTTTTGATAAAATTTGGAAAAATCTTTAGATAAAGGTTCTCATGGACACGTCATTAATGATAATGTGAATAAAGTTAACAATAAGGACATTAAATAACGGATTGCAAAAGTGGAATACATAATATTGTTTTTTATGTTTACTATGTTTGCCATTAAAGAATTTTTGCAAGCATTAAACCATCGATGAAATTGTGGACTTATCAATGTAGCATTCATAAAACAATTACATAAACTACTTTCAAACCCTGCTTTCTTATTGTCCCCCGCTTTCGCAAAAGCGAGGGGACATCAAATC